ACCGCTGCCAAAACCAAGGCCAGTGCCAAGGCGAGGGGAAGTGCTGATAGTTCGGAGACGAGCTCGTCAACCCGCAGATTCTGGGAAGAGTCTAGTGAGGAGGCACCTCCACACACAGGACCTCCAGCGGGGCCTCCGCCACCGACACCGGTGCATGGCACGACGACGGACCATACCGTGGCGGCTCCGACACCGACTCCTGCGAAGCCTGCTGGGCTGCCTCCGCCAGCATCCGCACATGCAGTCACAACCGCACCTGAGGTGCCCGCTCGGAGCAGATCTCGACGTGGCAGTGTGGTGCATGGCTCTCGACCAGGCTCAGTGGCGGACTCCAGCACAGGTCCCGGTTCCGGTGAGACGAGCACTACCATGGTGTCGGGTGCTCCGGCGTTGCCCACGGGGCCCACAGGAGCACCGGCAACAGCGGTCCCGAAGACTATGCCTCCCAAGGCCTCAGGACATCGACCTAGTGGACCTCCTGTGCCAAGCCCAGCGGCTCCTACGACGCCTTTTGCTGTGCCACCGAGCACTCCCCTTGGGACGACAGCCACGGCCTTTATGCCACCGGGAGCCCTTCCAGCTCCGTGCCAAGGCTGGACCATCACTCTCACAATCCAGCCCACGTACCGGTGAGTCGGCAATATGCAGTGCTTTTCGCATCACTCTTCCGTGCCATTGGCAGATCTCGCCAGGGAGCAGTCAAGCCGAAAATGCGACAAGCAGACCCTGCTTTTCCCAAGGCCCAAGCTGTAGGCACCTTCGCCTGCAACACTGTGCCCAGGTCAGCATGGTCCTCACTGTGCAACAGCTTCGAGGACATAAAGCATGTGCACCAGGGCTAACTCGCAAACTTCCCTGGATCAGGTGTCTCTCCCCCGGCATTCGAGCTGTCACCTTCCAACTGGCCAGAGTCTCAGCCGCACACATAAGCATATCTCTGAGATCTGTTCCTGCGACAGTGCCCTCCAGACAAACGAGCCTCAGTCTGCCCTGCCTGTTGCCACTCCTGAGCTCAAGACCATGCAGGGCCTCTACAGAGCCTGAGCCTCTTCCCACCCAGGCTCCGACGCCTGGCCCCTCTTCTCATGGGGAAAAAGAAGAAGCCATGGGTGCCACCGCCCCCTTTGGACTCGTCGATGATCGTGGACTCGGAGGCCCTCGTTTCTGGTGCGGATGTCGTCATCAGGGGCGGGGCGCATCAGCGCATCCAAGGTCTGAAAGGGTACATTCTCCCCTCTGCCGAGGCGAACAGCACTACGTTCAATGTGAGATTGTACCAAGGACATGCGTCACTTCAGGCGAAGATATGGTGCGTGGACAGATCGCATGTGGAGGCGTGTGGTCCGGAGCCTCCGAGTGCTGACGACGGTCTGCACCCGTCCCTTAGGTGGCGGCTACGGCCGCCACCTTTAACTGACACCTAGAAGCGAACGCCGTAATGTATGCTCTTCTCAAGCTCTCAAGGTAGGCCCCTCCATGGTTGTCTCTCACTTGCTGGGCGTCCTGCAGGTGTTGCACCAAGGAGCGTCGACAAACTTGTGGGGCCTGGCGTGCCCATTTTATTGTGCAGCTCCTGGTATCGGAGCCTTACTGGCCAGCTTCCTCACAGGGGCTATTTTGGGCACGGGGTTTGGGGTCTGGTTCGCTGCCAGATTCCTTTTCGGGGCTTCGCTTGCTGAGGAGCCAGCGGCTGCAGCGGCTCCAGCTTTCAGGCCGGCCGACCGGCGACAGGCCAGACTGCGTGCTTACTTGCATGGGTGAGAGCGATCGTCACTGGGACCTCTCGCTTGAAATAGAGGGTCTCTCCCTTAGGTTTAGGGGTCTAAGGCTCTCGCCCGTCTCTGCCGAGCCCTCAGATAGGAGCCCCTCACCTTCCCTTTCGGGTTTTGTGGTTGTAAGCCCTAGGTCCTCAACCCGTGTGCAACAGGACGACCCATCTGCCGGGTCGGCCTCCCTACCCCTAAGGACCCGTGTGCTCTCGGAAGGACAGGTGCAGCCCTCCGGCTCATCCGCCCAGCCTCGGGCCTCTCTCCCTGTGCGAACAGCTTCCTCGGCCTCTGCCGTGCCTGAGTACCCCTTGCCCAGCTCGCGGAGCTCCAGGTTTAGCAGGAGGCAGGCTATTGCTTTGGCCTTCCCGCCTTTGCCAGACTACCTCGTGGATTCTTGCCGCCAGCTTTCAGTGGGAAACCTTACCCCCCACCAGCGTGCAAATCGTGCTTGGCTCGCCGGCTGTTGGGCTAAGGCTGTGCTGGAGGAGCAGGTAGACAGGCCTGACCCCTCGGAACCTTTGGACGTGAGCTCGCGTTACTACTGTGTGCTGCGCGCTGACGGCGTGCCTTCGCCGGTGGTCTGCGCGACCCTTGCTGCCTTTAGGCGTGTGATTGGCCCCGACTTGGGCCGCTCTGTCACTCACGGCTTCCCCTCGACCTCCGAGTGCAGGGTGTACTTTGCTGCTGCGGCCCTTCCTTTCCCGAACTCCCTGCTCAGGTGATGGACTTTGCCCAGCTGGTGGCCTACGAGTCAGGTTCCCTTGAAGTGTTGGAGTTCTCTTGGCCCCCGGCTGCGGAGGACCAAGCACCTTCAGTATGCTCGGCCTATGTTATTATGAAACGGCCTTCTGGGTTCTTGCTTTGTATTCCGGAGGGCTTTTTGAGTCAGGAGGAGAGGGACCTTGGACAGCAGCCCGCCGAGGACTCTGGAATAGGCCCCTCTACCGTGGTGTCAGCCTCTCCGGTGATGCTTACCGCAGAGGGGAGCTGGGTTGCAGCTTCGGACCAGGAGCGCCTCTCGGCTCTGGTGGTGGACATGGCAGACCATTTGGCCGAGCAGCTGGCCCCGGCGGACCTAGCCGTGGAGGAGCTTGTTTGTTTCCGGCAGGGGCAAGCGATGCTCTTCCCCCTGGCTTCGGAAGTGCTCAGGCAGTCAAAGGAGTGGCTGCTAGGTGCGGAAAACTTTCCCGAGGACAGGTCAGGTTATCACACAGCCGTTTCGGCCACGGAAGCCCCGGCTCAGCGTCCCAAGCCTCCGAAGCCGAAGCGCCCCACGGTGCAGCAGCTGGCAGCCCAGCAAAGCCAGATGATGCAGCTTATGACTTCCGTTGTGGAACGCCTCGACAGTTTGCAAGTCTCGGCGTCGCGGGCGCCCGGGCCCGCAGGTCAGGCCGCCCCTGCCCCCCCCAGCAGCGGTGAACACAGCGATTTTGCAAAAGCCTTTGGCCTCAGCCCTCCCCCCGGTCTCGGCTGCCCCTCACTCCTTGGCACAGGCAATAGGACCTCCACCCCCTACCCGTGCTCAGCCCCCTGCCGCGCCCATGCAAGTGGACTTGGAGGAGGCAGCAGCAGGTGCCTTAGCGAGAGGCGAGCTCCCGGGCGAGAGCAGCCTTACCTCGGCCGTCCTTGCTCAAAGCCAGGCCTTGGTTGCTTTAGTGGGGCAGCTTTCTTCGGGCTCGGGAGACCCTTTGCTGGAAACCACAGGGCAGTCAGCCAGTGTGAGAGGAGCGGCCAACCGGGCGAAACTCCAGGAGGAGCTCTCGGGCCGGTCCGGGGCCTTTGCAGACAAGATCCGGGCGAACATGGCTCGGCGGATGGACCCCACTCACTTGATGGCCGAGGAGCAGATATCTTTTATGCGGTATCTGGAGAGGCACGGAGCTTTTGCCTCCCAGCCTCTGCTGGGGCTTCTTGCCTGGCAGACAGCCCAGGCCTTAGACCTTCTGGCCGCAGGTTCGGAGGCAGGTGCTCGAGATACTCTTTCCCTGCTGCTGCTCATGATGGAGCAGACCGCGCTGGATGGGGGCAACAGCTCCCTAGCTTGGCTCCTTACCCTGCAGGCGGAGCCGCCACAGAGCCTGTTCCAGACCCCGGCCACGGTTCCGGGTGCTCAGCTGCCTGTGTTTTCTGCCCTGGCCGAACAGAAGTGGGTGACAACAGCCCTGGCGTACGCGAAGGAGCTGGACACTATAAGCGTGCGCCGCGCGGAGGCGCAAGCAAAAGGGCCCGGGATCCCAAAGGCCCCCTCAAGGCCTGTGCCTCCGCCCCCTACGCCTCCCAACACTGGGAACCTTACAAAGAAGCAGCAGAGAGCTGCAGCCTGGGCCGCCCGGCAGCCGAGACGGCCCCGAAAAAGTAAGTTTGCCAAAGCGCCGTCGGCCCGGTCGTGTTTCGATTCCCCGGTGCTCTGCCAGCCACGTTTCCTCTTCCTTTGTAAGGTCGGGAAAGCGGTCTTCCTCGGCTGGTGCCCCTGGACTTTGGACTTCTTCTACCTTGGGAGCTCCCACGGACTCCCCTTTGCCCCCGGCCCCGCCGGCCTTTGAATTGGGCTTTTGTTCCTCTACCCCTGAGTCACCTGCTGCTTCAGAGGATGTTCCCTGCGCGAGCAATGCCTCCGGAGATGTTTTCCCCCTGCATTGCAGCAGCCTCAGAGAAGAGGGCGAGTTCGCTTTTGAATCCTGGATCGCCGCCCTCCCCCGGCTTCTCAAGCGTGGGAAGACCCAGCTTTCCGGGTTTCTGGTTTCTACTTTCAATCTGCCTAAGGGGACCTCACCCGACCCCTCAGCCGCTCTCTACCCGCTGCCTCTTCTTCACGAGAGGGTCTTCCAGCAGCGGGCCTGCCGAAACGCTTCTGACCGTCGGACCCTTGCTGTTCGTCGGTGCGTGCACCTGGTTGCCATGTCTTTGAATTACATGCACGCCGGCTGCAAACATGTTCCCTTGCGTTCTCTGCAGAGGCCTCTCAACTCGGCCCAGGCCCGCGCCTATCACCGGATTGAGATGCTTGTTCGAGCGTGTGCCCACCGGGCCGGCCTCGTGCCTGCCTGCTCTGGGCGTCGCGGCCTCCACCTTGCTGCCAGGCTTTCGGAGGTTGTGTGTTTTGTTGAGCGCTGTGGCCTGACCCCTGGCGCTTACCCTGGCGACGGTGCTTTGCCTGAGGAAGCACCTTTTCTGCCCCACGCCGACCACGGCCTGGAGGCGCTTCACCCCTACCGGGACCTTCGAGCTGATCAGGTTGCCCTGCATGGCGAAGGGAAGTGGGACCTCGCTGTCCATCTCGGCCCTGACCTCTACATGCCCTATGTTGAGCCCCAGGTGCTGCACTTTGCCGGACTCGACGCGCCCTTCCCCTCTTTTGCCAAGGAGCAGCCGGACCACCTGATTGAGATCTGCAAGCTGTGGGACGCCTCCGCTCTTCTTGGATTTGTGCCGGGCCCTTTACCAGACCGCCAGCTCACGAGACTTTTCGGAGCCTACAAAGCTCCGGGCAAGCTTCGCCAGATCGGCGACCGAAGGGGCCAGAACGCTTCTGAGGCCCACCTGTGTGGCCCGTCCCGGTTTCTGCCTTCGGGCCCCCTGCTCTGCCGTATCCATGTGCCTGCCGGCCACTGCTTGGTCGGCTCCGTGACGGACCGGCAGGACTTTTACACGCAGGCCCGGATATCCGAGGAGAGGTTGTGGACTAATGCTGTGGGGCCGTCGCTTGTGCTTGGGAGCCTTCTTGACACAACTGCGGGTCAAGCCTTGCTAGCTGCTGGCTGGAGCGCTGGACTTCGCGCCCGGGCTTCTCGCCTCTCCTCTCCCCCGCCTTCCCTCCTCGTGGGCCCACGCGCCGTCGTGCACCCGACCTTTCAGTCCTTGCTACAGGGGGACGCGGGTGGAGTCGAATACGCGACGGGAGGGCACCAGGGCTTGTTGCAGAATTGGGGTTGCCTTTCTTCTGCTCGTCGTTTGCGTTCTCGCCATCCGGTCGCTGCCGTCGGGCCTTGGCAGGGCCTCATCATCGACGACTTCTTCTGCTTGGGGGTTGAGAGCGGGGACTTCTTGCCGGGCTCCCCCTCTGCTTCCCTCGATGCTCTCGAGGTTGCAAAATCTGCTTACGATTCGGAGGGAGTCGCGGGCTCCCCTAGCAAGGACGTTCTTTCCCAGAGGGTCCTAAAGGTTGCTGGAGCCGAGATCGATTCTTGTGTCGAGACCGTCCTTTCGGGTGCCACCTTCCTCGGCTTCCCCACTCAGAAAAGACTGTCTTTGGCCGCTGCCTCTGTTCGTGCTGCCGAGTGCCCTTACATCTCCGAAGAGCTGGTCTCTTGCCTTACCGGCTCGTGGGTCTCCTCCCTCATGTACAGGAGGTGCCTCATGTCGGCTTTGGATGGATTATTTTCCCTTGGCAGGTCGGAGGTCCCGAGCACCCCGGGCAGCGCCCTTCGACCTCTTTCCCGGAAGATTGCTGGCGAGCTTCAGCTCCTTGCCGTCCTCGCCCCGGTCATCCTGACTAACCTCTCTGCGGCCCCGGCTTCTCGTGTCTTTGCCTCGGACGCTTCCAACGCCAAGGGCGCCTTTTGCTCTGCCGCCATAGGCCGCGAGGAGTCTTTGCGTGTGTGGCTCGCTTCGGAGTCAAAAGGGCATGCGGTCAGGTTGTGTGAGGTTAAGAGCTCTGAGGCTGCTACGCCTGGACTTGGCGACCGACCCGTCGAGGCCGAGCCGAAGAAGCCCCTTGCCTGCTCTTACGACTTCCTCGAGGGTAGCGCGTCTCAGGGCGACCTGTCCGAGGACCTCGGCCAGTTGGGGTTCTACGTTGGGCCCGTCATAGACCCGGCCCGGTCGAGGCACTTCTGCCACACTGCCCCCCGGCTTCTCGAGTGGATTTTCTTCCTGCTCTCCGAGAAGAGGCTAGGCTGCCTCGCCCTCGGAACCCCGTCTGCTTCCTTCAGTCCTTGCCTCAGGCCGCCTCTTCGCTGTCACCTGCCCTGAAGGCTTCGTCAAAACTGAGCCCCGCACCTGTGCCGGCAACCGGCTCGCACTTGCTCACCTTGGTCTGTTGCAGGCTGCCCTTAGGTACGGTGTACCTGTTGCGCTGTGGGTTCCCTTCAGCTCTCTTTTCCGTTTCCTTCCCGCCTGGAAGAGGTGTGTTGCTGGCCTGCATGCCTCCGAAACCGTCGTTTCCGGTGGCCTCCCTGGGGCCGAGAAGGTGTGGGTCCTCAGTCGAGGCCTGCGTCTCAGGCCGACTTCCGAGCTAGTTGGCGAAGACAACTTCTCTAAGAGTGCTCTGGGCCACCTTACTTGTGCCTTCGCTGAAGCTCTCTCTGGGCCCCGGCCCCGGGAGCCCGACCGCAAGAGAGGTCTTGAGAACGTCGCTGTTAACGACCTGCTGTTGGCTGCCTCGTGGAGGACCGAGGCCTGCTGGAGGTGGAGGAGGAACGAGCACATAAACTGCAAGGAAGCCAAGGCTGCTCACCGTGTTGTTTCTTTTGCGGCAGTGACCGAGGGAGACTCGAAGGTCTCCCTTCTGCTTGACTTTTCGGTTGCCAGAGGAGTTATCGGGAAGGGGAGGTCATCCTCGAAGGCCCTTCGGCCCATCCTGCTGAAGACCGGAGCGGTGGCAGTGGCCGGGGGAATTCACCTCGGCCTCCACCATGCCCCGACCCGGCTAAATGTTGCCGATGACCCGACCAGGGATGCTGAACTGAGGCCCGCTGGGAGTTCTAGTCTTGTGTGCGGTCAGGACCCGGCTGTCGTCGAGGACCTCTGTGCCTTCGCTGGGCTGACTCCAGCTGCCGCCGGCTGGTTTCGCCTGTCCCTCCTCCTCGCCCGTAAGGACCCTAGTTTTGGTTCAGGCCCCCTCCTTAGTGCAGTTCAGGAGCCGCTTTAATGCCCGGGCCCCTAGACCTTACTTTGTGCCTAGATCCTCCACGGGTGCCCCCTAAGGCCTTCGACTCTTGTTTAGGTTTTCCAGGAGAAGGGCCCATCGGGCCTCGAAACCCTCAAGACGAGAAGCGAAAGCAGGCTCGGGGCACAGCAGGCCTGCCTGAGAGCCGCCCTGTGCTGCCCAGGACGAAGCTGAACCGAGCTTCCCTCCTTAGCCGTTTCAGCGACTGGTTAGGAGAGAACGGCCACGAGCGTGAGGCCTTCATGCTCTGGCCGGCTGAGACCCTTGCCAAGACGCTGGAGCAGTACGGCAGGGAACTGTTTGAGGCAGGCAGGCCCTATTGGCATTACTCTGAGACGATCAACGCCATCAGTGCCCGCCGGCCCGCGATTCGCCGCGTCCTGCAAGGCGCTTGGGATTTAGCGTTCAGCTGGCTCGCCACTGAGCCCTACACCCATCACGTCGCGATGCCAGCCGTGATCCTCCTGGCGCTTTTGTCGGTTTGCCTCACCTGGGGATGGCGAGCCGAGGCAGGGATATTCGCCTTGGCCTGGGGCGGCTTGCTCAGGATCGGCGAGGCTACTGGGGCGGTCCGGTCCTCGTTGGTGCTGCCAAGAGACGCTTTGTGGAGCCAGGCCTTCATCCTCCTGAAGATAAACGAGCCGAAAACTCGCCTTCGTACAGCCAGACACCAAGCTGCCAAAGTCGAGGCACAGGACCTTGTCGAGCTGATAGATCTGGCTTTCGCTCACCTGCCCTCGTACAGCAAACTTTGGCCTTTTTCGGCCCAGACACTTCGAAAAAGGCTGGACAGCGCTTTGGAAGCCCTTCTGGTGCCGACTTCGCGGTCCTGCTCCCGGCCATTAGACCTCGGGTCTTTTCGGCCGGGAGGGGCTACCTTCGTTCTCCAAGCAACAGAGGATGCTGAGCTCGTGCGAAGACGAGGCCGATGGGTATCGGCAAAAGTTATGGAAATTTATCTTCAAGAAGTTGCGGCTTCAACGTTCTATCCGTCCCTGCCAGCTACCACCAGGAGGCGGGTAATGGATGCGGCCGCTTGCTTTCCTGAGATTCTCAGGAAAGCTTCCTCGTGGACTCGGGACCGAATTCCCACGAGTGTGTGGTACAATCTGTGGAGCTCAGAGAGCAGCGTTGCCACTGGCGATGGCGACAGGTCGTGACGGGAAATGTGGGTTTTCTTTCATATTGGCGCCCGGCCCTGGCTACGACTTTCAGCCCGGAGCCCCTTTCTCGCGAGATGTTAATACCTCG